GACTGTGGGTAATGACAGCATTTTTCTGAAACATAGCAGTGCCTCTGCAAGGACACGTCTACCCAGGCATGTCAGTGGGGTGCTGAACCCACGCTCAAGGCAGCTGCTGGAGCACCTGTGACAAAACACATGTGGAAAGATGAAGTGGTGTTTGACACCAGAATCAGGGTGCCTTTTTCTGGAGGGGAAACGGGCCACCAGATTTAAAAGCTGAAGAAGTCTTGGCTATGTTATGTTTATTGAAGGGTCATTAGATAACCTGCTGCAGAGGTTATTGAGTGGATTATTTTGTATCTTTCTGTCTTTTTTTTTTTAATTAAATTAGTGGGCTTACTCATTTTGAATTGTTTTATAATTCTCAACGCAGCCAACACAACCAATACTACATTTTTTGAGGCTTTAAAAAAAATATTTTTCATGTATAGAATTATGACCATCTTCATCTTCCATCAAACTCTCCTTTGTGAAAACATGTTTGGACACTTTCTCCCCAAGTACAATTACCATGCAGTTCTTGCTACACAGCCTAATACTCAATATAGCCCTTTATCCTAATTATCTCAGACTGTTTTGATACCAAATTGGGTTCAAAGAGGACACAGGCATTTTGGAGGAATTTGGGGGTATGGAAATTAACAAGTTTCCTGATAAGAAATAAGGAGGAACCATGAACTGAAAACAAAGAAATTGATGAGACCTGCTGAATCTCCAGAAATCGGTGGTATCTGTGTTTACCAGCCCCAAAGCTGCTTTTAATGGCAGAGTATAAACGGAGCCAGAGTATAAACAGAGCCAGATCAGACTAATCAATAATGGCATTACATGTCCAAAGCCTGGACATAAACCACAACCTTATTCTGGGAAACAGCAGAAAGGGTGCAGAGAGGAGCATTTTAGCGCTCAGACAAAATGGTTGCATCACCTAAGTGTTCATACTACTACAAATACCAGTTTCTTCTTCATAATGTCAGCTCCTTCACAACCTGAGCAGTTCTAAAAAAGGCACTGGGTACCAATACTCTAAAAATGGAGAGTCAGAAACCCAGAAGAAGATACATATTCCTCAGGTCAGAGTTCATCCCCGGTTTGCTAACATAATACTACCCACAGCGCTTCTCGTTCTAAACCAGCTCCCATCACGCGTGTCCTCACCAACAGCTTTTCCAAGTGTTCTGACAGCTGCCTTGCTTTGTCCTCTACCCAGATTTGTGATTTGAGTGCAAGTATCCTCCCACCAAAAAGCTGTGTTATGTCAGTGTGCAAATTAAACAATAAATAAATTATTAAGGAACTTTTTAAATTACTCATTCCATAATGAACTCTTGGGCTTGGCTCTGAAGGAAATTGTAGGCTTCAGTACACCACTACCACCCCCACCCGCCTGACATTACTGTTGTTGAAACCCCCAGAAATGGAGGAGACAGTAGGGACAGGTCTACATTGCACAAGATGTTCCCAAGCTAGCGAGCTCCCGGGCCATAGCACAACTCCTGTAACATACCTTAGCAACTCCAAACCCGGAGTGGCACAGCTGTTTCTCTTGGTAGGCATAGCAAGCCAGCAAACTGCCAGAAAGTAGTTACACACCTCTCACAAGGTCACTGAGTGTCTCTCAGTGGCACTGTTTCTCACCATTATTTCTTTTTCTGTGATTAGTCTGTGCTGTGTCAGTGTGGTTTCTCTGAGCTCAGTTGATAGACGGACCCAAGTTGACAATTTAAAAGAAAGAAAAGAGCTGACAAAAGTTTGGCCAAGCAAAAACTGTGAAGAACATGATGTAGTTACACACTGAAACCACCGTTAGGAGCATACCTTCCTCATTCTTCCCGTTGGGTGCCTGAGGGTCTACAGCCATCCCCAGCTTGCTTAGCCACCTGTGTTTGAAACAGAGGGAATATAGAGTTAGGGATACTTGCATGCTGTTCGGACAGAGTTTTGCCCCTTTCAGGTGTGTTCTACGTTACTACATCTATTTTCATTAACCTGAAGACTAAATGTCAAAGTTTCCTTCTATTTCTTAGAACACCCTCTAGAAAGGCACAAGTTACCTGAATACTAATATTGCCCACGGTGAGCAGGACTAGTTGCCTAGGACATCTTTCCCCGATCCTGAAAAAAGCACTACTGATGCCCAAGGAGTTGCATTCGGGGAAGCTAAAGGAAAAGTATGTGTGCTATAACACAGTGTCAGTGGCTTAGTCCTGCTGTTGAGGTGTCATCTTTCACCTGAGATGCAGCAAAAGGCACAGGAGCCATAGAAGATGATGTCAGCTGCCCCCGGTCAAAGCTACTGTAGCACAGTCTAAGAATCTAAGCCATTTAAAACTAGATTTTCTGACCATTATATACTGCTCTCTTTAACTCCCGATGTACTTTTGGTTTTAGTAAGTCTCACTTCCTGTGTTGCTTTAAGATATTAACAGGGTTTTTCATTTCTCTTCCCAGGTGGCTGCATTTTTCTAGTGCTAGAAACAATCCCTGGATATACTTTTTTGTATATTGTGTTTGCCTGTAGGTCATTCAGATCTATTAAGGTTTTAAGAAACTAACAACTAAAAAAGCTCAAGCCTTTCAGATTGAAACTCAAGGCCTAAATAGGGAATGTATGAAGGGCAGGAATTAAGATTCATTAACTCTGAAAAAACATTGCGTCTGATCTTGATTCTACTGAAGCAATGGGAAAGTTGCTAGTAAGATCAGTGTCAAAGCGACTGGATTTTTAGACTGCAGTATGAACAATAGAACCACATAACAATTCAAGAAAACATCTCTGAGTGGATTATTGATTTTATTCTAACAGCTAATCATAACAGAATGATTTTTTTAAATAAAAAATCTAAACAAAAGAAAAGGTTTGCTGAAAAATACAGGACTTCATTAACCACAAGGTCAGACAGATCACTAGTAACATTGTGCAACAGGACAGGTAAATGCATGCAGCTAACCAGCACGCGTTTACTTTTCATGTGTGTGTGACAATGGCAAATACATGCTAAATTAATGAAGAAAATGGCTGTCTTAATAAATCCACTGTTGATTTCATAGATATATATGCATGAAGAGTTATGAAAGGTCATGATCCATCAAGCATTTATGCACACCAGTAACTCGACACACGTGAATGCCCCGGTGAGTTCAGTGGAACCACTCACATGCATATGTATTTGTGGAACTGAAGCCAAGAGAACAGATGTCTTTTAGTCTGTTTTGACATATGCGTGAGTATGTGTGTACTTTATGTATTAAATGCATGTATTTTATACTTTGCCAAGGAAAACATCATCAGTTACAACAGTGAGGAATTAGTATTAGTGCAGTATAATGCAAGCTGCTTTAACGGTAGGCTACCGAGCTTTAAGCCAAAATGAAATTTACTCAAGAAGTGGAGTTTGAAGAAAATCATTCTGGGGGCATAAGAGCTGGGACACCTGCATAGACTTCAATCACTCACTCACATGAGACTAAACATTTCAAAAGTGTCATTAAGACACTGAGAATTTCCAGCTAGGCTCCAAACTGGCTGCTAGCGCTCACTAATGTCCTCCATTAGCTCTAATTTTCCTTTTCCTTCTCCCTACATCCTTCCCTCTCTTCTCTCTCAACCAGGGTTACTCTCTCTACAGAAATATTCCTGTCCAGCAGTCCCTCATTCTAAGCCATCCTCAGCTCATCTGCCTCAAGAACTTCTCATCCTGTTCAGGAGCTCCAGTAGGAAACACAGCGATACAGAAACGGATGGTTGTCTCCCCACCAGTATGCTCTGTGCTGCTCCAAGTTGCAAAGAGCAACATGTTCTTTCCATCTATATTTACTTGTACGCATCTATAGAGTACAGATTTATGAATATTTATGTACATGCACTACTCTAGTATTGTACATTTCTGTATCTATAGCCCTTTCGGAAGGTCACACACGTTCTCTCAACCTCTATCCTTCTCTGTTGTGGTAAATATGTATGAAGTTCCCCATTTATAGAGGAAAAGAGCAGTCAATGCCATATGAAGAATCTCAAAAGGTCACCAGCAGAGCCATGATTAAAATCCTGACCTGACTATCATAGGAGCTCTCTTCCCATTTAAATTGTACTGCTTTGTAATCCGGCATTTGGCCATTTAATGCAATAGCATTGTGAACAGACTGCAATCTGAAGTAAAAAAGACAAAGAAGATACGAGATGTATCTAAATCAGCCAAAACTGGATCAATAGCAAGTAATATCTATTTCTGATAGCTCAGTGGTTCCTAAATGGCAGTTTCATATCCATTTTTACTTCTTGCATTAAAAACTGCATGAATTAATTATTGTTCTTATGGACATTTGTGGAAAGAATATTTCTGATCTGTCACGAGGATCGTTTAACTGCAACATAGTTTGGCGGTGAAGTAAATGCTTACTTACATTAAAGAAACAGCCCTTTCTATCCCTTTAACCCTCCTTGTTAACTGACATGCTGCTCTGAAAGCAGACAATATTATATTCTAGTCCTAGATAACTTCTGGGACAAAACTATATTAAACTTTTCCCTCTCTTTCCTTTATTCCCTCACTTCTCCCAAGGTGATGAACTTGCTATCAAATCTTTGCACCTCTCTAATGGAAAGGGATTTATACCAGCAAATGTCAGGAAGATTAGTATCAAAATCAGGCTAATAATGCGATTCCGATTTCAACTATCATTAGTGAACAAATTGCAATATTTTCCTTCTATACAATGACTAGAAAACAAAACAGACTGAGTAATTCCCTGAATAACTTTGTCAACAATTGCTTGACAGCGAGAGAATTAACTTTCAAAGGATGTCCTCAGGCGTCAGACAGGATGAAACATGGCCAGTCGCTCCTACTTACATGTTCATTTCCAGAACATTTTCTGCCGCAAAATAAAACGTCTTGATCTGTGGGTGGCTGATCTTAATAGCACTTTAAGAAAAGAAAAATAGAAGATATGTGAACAAAACTAGTTTACATAAGAAAAGAAAGAATAGCTGAATTAATTATTTAAAATATTTATTCACTCCACTGTATTAATCCAGATCAGCTTATCCATCCATATAGCTTTCCTTAAAACTCTAGTCTATTTTTAGCTCATTTCCTAGGCCACACATTATTCAGAGGGTATAAACTACAGGAACTGAAAAGGAAGGAATGAAGAATAAAACCAATTCCTTCATTATGCCTTTACATAAGTCAGTTGTGTGCCCACGTCTCAAATACTGTGTGCAGCTTTGCTTCCCCCAGCTCAGAAAAGCAGAGTAAACCTGGAAAATGTTCAGAGAAAGCGCCAGGGATGACCCAAGGTATGGAACAGCTTCCGTGAGTGATTAATCAGGCTAAGACGCCACAGCATGGGAAACTGATAGTTGAGAGAAGGGAGGTATAGAACAATAAAATCACAAGCAGCACACAGTGGGTGAATAGGGATTGACTCTTCACTGTCTTTTCCAAGACAAGTTTTAGGAGGCACCGAAAAGGCAACTAGGCAACTAGGAAACAAAGAAAATGGAGGTAGCCCCTTGACATGCCCACAGTTAACCTGTTGGTCTCAGCCCCAGACTGTGCTTTAGTTGAACAGCCATCAGTAACATTTTTCAGAAGGTTTTTTTTTTTTCCTAAAACATAGTCTCCGACCCTGAGACTGTGTGGCTTCCCTCTTTTGCTCCTCATTAGGTGAGTGACTCTGTCCCATGGAAGCACACACTATTTGACTGGGCCCCAGTGGCCCCAGTCAATCCTGACAGTTCTCCTAACTTACCCCATCCCAAATAAGTGATGAGCATGTGTTTTCCTCCCAGTCACTGACAGCCAACAGCCGCAGAAGTGAAGGGCAACATTTTCTCGTGGTCTTGTACTATGTGACTCAACCTTTCCTCTGAGAAAACAAAATTAAGCTCCCCATATTCAAAATAGCTGTCCCCTTTCTTTGGAGGAGTCAAGCCCACAGTTAGTCTCAAGAACACCTACAGCTAATGTCAGCGTGAGACACGAACAGAAGAACGAAGGCTTTCTCTTGAGGGACAGAATAGAAACCACGCTGATCTTTATAACTTTGAACAGCAGCAACACCCCTCCAAACCTTTGAAATGTACTCAGAAGCAGCTGGAAGTCAGTGCTGCATATGGAGTTTGGAGAGAATATTTTGAAATTTGTACCCTGCTAAACAAAGTTGCACCACAGCAGCCTAAAGATTAGTCCCAACTTGGAGGGAAGCAGCATTACTTGCACCACTCTTGACCTCCCCACCTAAGAGAAGGTATCTTAGAATACAACTTACTCATAATCAGTGAAAGAGAAGGAAAAAAAAGAAAAAGCATTTGGCATACTGATCTACTTTTTTTATTTGTAGTTTTAACAGAGCACATCTGGCAGAGAATTTTCAAAAATGTTTTTGCAATATGGTTTTCTTTCAGTAGCTCAATTAATAACTCATTATTTGTACAACACAGAAGAGCTCCCCACAGCTTCATTGTCAGGCACTACTGAGATTCAATTCCTTGCAACATTGTGAAAATCATGCAAAACTGAGGGCAAGAGATAAACTTACTGCTTTTTTTTGCATTCAGTGGCTCGGTCCACACTGAAGTCTGGAAGTCTGATGAATCCTTCTGCTTTTTCAGCCTGCAGTAAAAAAAAAAAAAAATTAAAATCACCACATCAACCAATTGGTAAACTACTAGACTCCAATGCTCAACAATATTTAACACACAAGTGCTTGGTTTTGACAGCTTTTTATAGTGTGAAAATATATGCTCATCACCATGGGGACAGATTAACACCCAATGTTTTGGCTGGTATTTGGGAACAAGAAATATTCCTATACCAGCTACTCTTTGTGCAAGTCCTGGATGCTAGAAAGCCACCACTCCTGTCTGTGCAAGTGGCAGAGTGTGAGCATGGGATTTGTTGTACACTTCCAAATAGCAAAGCACCTGAAAGAGGAAGGATCCTCAAGTCCTACAATAGTGCTGAGGTAGATTGCCCCTTCCTCCTCACCTCGAAGCATTTGTATCAGAGCATCCTTGTCTAAGATTCATGAGTAAGTCATAAGCCTAGTCCGGAGTCTGAAATTGTCAAGGGCAAAATTTAGGTTTGGATCAAACCAGGACTAAAAACAGCGGGAAGGCGGAGGAACCCGATTCCTTTGCAGCCATCAGTGATCACACAACTTCTTTTGACAAAGAGACCAGCCACGCTTTGTGCATAGACCCCAGAAAATGAAACTACTGAACCTCAGCTCTAAAACAGAAGCCTCTCAAAAGAGACAGATGACACAAGAGAGAATGAATAAGGGTTATATCATCCATTCAGGTCTGGATGTTACATACAGTCTCAAAGGAGCATTTGTTACGTTATACAGCACGCACACGTGTTACACAGATGCGTAACAGCACCACATATAATGATCTATGTACATTTGAAAAATACACGTCTACAGCGACGGGGATTCAAAAGTGACCCAAAATGATCCTAAGTAGAGATCGAGGAGGGTCTCCCCTGGGTAACTGTAACATGGACCATTTCGTAGGGTCACCTATATACACCTGTATGTGAGCAAGGCAGAGGCAATATAGGCTGCTCCCACGCCAGGAGGTGAAACAGTGCAAGGGGATGGTCCCACGCAGCTGAGCTCTGTTGTTAAACACTGCAAACCAGCCTCAGATGGCTTTGGCCACCCAGCTATCACTCCCCCTGAAAAATTTTCAGGCATGGTACAGGAGGTAGCAAAAGCCAGGCAGACATTTACAGTACACTGTTTATATGCAGTCACCCCTTTCTGGACAGGAGTGGGTTTACTGAGCATTGGCATCTCCTTTCCGAGTCAGCTGGACTCGGTGTCAGAGACTGGCTCCAGCAAAACTGAAGTTACCAGTCAGCCTCAAATCCCAGTTCTTGCTGCCTGCAGCTGAAACGTCTTCCTTTACTACATCTATATACATTCATCTGATCAGCTGCAATAAGACTAGGACTCTTCCTAAAAGGAGCAATAATGTAGACAAAAGTCTGTAGCACATAATGTCAGGAAAAAATGTACTTTCCAAAATACAGAAAGTGTTCCTTCCTGAATCACTTTTTTTGCTGCTCCCAGCCCTCATCCCTGGGCACATTAAAATTCTGAAAATGTACATCGAGTTAAAGCAGGTGAAATATACACAATTACAAAGACAGAGGATAAATGAAGACGACTGACAGCATCTCAAGTCACATTATGCATGAATATGAAGAAACTATAAAAAGACGTTCATCGAGACAAGTCTTTGAGCTTTAATGCTTGGAAGTATGAATCTCCGAGAACTGAAATATGGATACAGAATGGATTTTTCAGCGGGTGGCTTCCCCGCACCTCTGCATATCTCTTCTTTGGTATACAATAAATCATTGCTCAACCATCATTCCTGCAGTTTAAATGGATTAAATATTCATATGAGAGGTTTATATTTCGCATCTTCCCCAATAAATGGTTTTGCCTGCTCCAGGACAAAAAAAAAAAAAAAAAATCTTGATTTTGCAACATGGTTTCATTTGTACAGAAATGTGCTTATTTGCAGCTGTGGGTTCTTAACTTTCTCTGATTAAATTTGTACCTGTCAAACTTGTTTAGAGCCTGGCTTGGGGAGCTTTTGTTTCCATTCCACAAGTTGGAATTTAGTGAGACTGATCTCATTGAGAAAAAATAACAATTAACTAAAGAAAAAAAGTAACAAGACTTTTTAGAAGGTGGTTTGGTTTTTTATGTATATTTCAATCAGTTAGACCTTGAGCTAGTATTTTCATCCCAGATCCATAGTACACTAAGTATATAGGGATGAGCAAATGAGAAGGGGTGAGTAAAGGAGGAGCTCTATTCACGGGCTGCATTGCACTAAAAATAGAGAATGTACTGTCCTGCAGTTCTGTACCAAAAAGAGTGGTCACTTACTAGAACAAGTGCAGCAAAAACACTGAAATTCCTGTTTGGTTCCCAAGACCAGTCTAAGAACACCAGAGACCAACTTCAAAAAAGCAGTTCATGGGGTATCAAAGCCATTATTACACACATTGCTGGATGAGAAACGTATACAATGACAGTTATTTCTCTGCAGTATCAATCAATAAGCCTGGTTTAAAAAAAAGAAAAAAAAATAAAGACCCTGTAAAAAGGAATATACCCAGCTGCCTTCTCACTCACACACCAATAAATCCATGGCCTGAGCTAGGTAAACCATCAGGTGGGTGAGTGGATGACTAGGGTTTGG